TGTCTTTGATTGTTTAAATTTTACTTTTGACAGAAATCGGTATTGCAGTGTTATGAAATGAAGATTTACATGATAAATCAAATGTTAATGACAATTTTGGGAACCACAGAGGAGGAGCATGCTATGTAACATTTACTGCTGATCCACTTTGCACTCATGTATGAACAAACAGCTTAATTTTCATCATCTATAATAAGCCATTTATGTGGAAATTAGTAAGTTCAGTAAATAAAGAAATTATTTTACTTTAGGATCATAATCTAAAACAAAATTAGAGAAGAAATAATAGAACTAGAAGTACTAAAAACATGAAATGAGTCTTATCTCAGAATTCCAGCAGTTACTATGTGGTTGCAACAGATAAGGTTAAGGGCAATTCCATCATGGTCTCTCGTAAAACATTTTAATGCTTTATATTATTGTGTGTGTGTGTGTGTGTGTGTATTATTTTATATTATATTACACTTTTATTGCTGCAATACAATCAATGTATTATGTTGAGGATTTGGCCTTAACTTATTGGACAACTCTGAAGAAAATTACTTGTACTGAAACCAGTAATTTACAAGTCTGATATCATATTTGTGCCAAATAAAAAAATAATCATAATAATCATGAAATGTTCACCCACACTCTCAAAGTTTTAATGTAAACTTTGGCATCACCACCTCACACACTGAGAATGGCTATAACATCAGTGTAGGCTTGCCCAGGGAACATACAGTAAAAATATAAGGTCTGTAAATGTTTACATAGTTTATAAATTGTCTTTTGCTATCACAGACTTTTAATAAAAAAAAAAAAAAATTAAGAACACTATTTACATCATGTTAATAAGTTGCAGTCACATTCATTACCTCTTGATAAAATATCATTTTTACAAAATTAGGCATATGCTTTGAAACGCTATGCATACTGTACTGGATAAACATGGTGATTTGGGGTCATTGGTTTCTCGGTTGTTAGAAGGTGCATTGTAGAGATTAAGACACCATACCATAATTGTGTTTGGTTGTAATTTTAAAATGTCAGCACACTGGATGATTGCATTCCTGGAAAATGCTGTACACAGAAACCCTAGTAAGACGGGGTTAGGTTGCAGTCCCTCCCCAGACCTAATGTAGTACCTCTCTTCATTTGTACTCCTGTTTCTTGAACATATATAACTTATATCCTTTATGCACAACATAAAAAATGTGAATGCCTAACCATAAGGAATAGTTGTAGAATGTATGTAAACTAGTCCAGTCCATTATGCAAGCCAGACTCACTGGGAGCCACAGTAAGACTGGTGCCTCTTCACCTTTAAGTCATCAAATGACTTGGATTACAGCATAAATATTGTCTTGTGTTTCTTTCTGTGGTCATCCTGCTTAAGAGGATTAATGGGCAAAACATTTAGGTGGGGTCAATATGTGACAGTAAGTGAAAAACACAAACTTGGCCAAGTGCAAGCCAAAGTTGGCAACCACGGCATCTTGAGTTTTTTGTTACAGGCATCATGAGGTGTAATGGAAGTATGTTTGAGTGTGGCCATTATGCTAATGCAGTAACAAGAACGTATGTAAAAATGTGTATGAATGAGCGAGAAAGATTTACCACCATTTGAGGGATTGAGGTATTTGTCTTTCCCATGATGCTTCACTTGGTATGTGTGTTGAATTTTGCCAACTCCAATGTAATGACCCTCTCTTTTCTATGGTGCAATACTATTTTCCATTTTCTTTTTTGTTAACAATACACATGATTGAATATATAGTGACCAAACCCATTCAAAGAAAGGGACCAGAGTATTTTTATCTATTTATTTATTTAAATTTTCATGTAAATATATGTTGAATAGAGGTATTATTATTATTTTTTTTTTTTTTACCTATAACTATTCTGAAGAAACTTTACCAGACACTTTAATTACTGTAATGTACTATGGTTCTTAATGAAGAGTATGGGTGCAGGTCCTTTGATGATAAGGTACAGTGTACATCTGAAAGGGAGTGGTTTTTATACAGTAATACTGTATAGAAAAATATGGAACTGGAGTTGATTTGTAAGTGTAATTAATCAGGCTGTGTTGTGTACTAGATTGTTGAAGTCAGGTTTTATATTTACCTTTGGATGACAAATCAGTGTTAGGTAGTCCATAACTTGTGGTATAAAGAATACTGTACTTGATTTAATATAATGTATACCTATTTTGTCATTATAATTAATATACTGCAATATATTATTTGGATATTTTAAGCCAGTTTAATAACAAAGGGAAGATATATACTTTGATGTAATCTTGTGGAATTAGTACAGCAATACAATATTGCAATTAAAAAAAATATTTACACATGAAAGCATGAAGCAGCACTTCTTGTAAAGATAAATAAAACTTCTTGTACAATAGTTTGCTCTAATACTTACTGTTGTGCCTTGTTAGTAATTTTAATTGGAAATTTTAAGTTAATTTGCCTTTTGTAAATTTTTTAATGAATGTACCTATACAATAACTTGAAACGTTTCATTTTTGTTAATAGTGATGATTATTGAAGTTGCCATTGTACTAAAGTCCTGATGGCATCTCTTTACAAGCTGCTTCCAACTCTACAAGAAAATCATTACAAAACATGGGATTACAGTTTGTATATTGTTGGCATATTGATCTTTTCAAGTTAACACTTTCTGGCAATCCTGTTATCCTGTTTTATATTTGCATATCAGAAAGAACACACTTTATATTTATGATAATTAGTGCCATTAATCTGACTAGTAGTTGTTGATGATAATTTTATACATTCAAGACTATAACTGTTTATTAAGGATATTTTTCTAAATTAGTAGCAAGTCAGGTCCAGTAGGAAAAAAATGAAGCCACATCAGTTAGTTGTTAATATATCCAGCCAGTGATAACATGTTTCTAAGTTTAGTTTTGTTGCAGTGCCATGTCTATCTTGTCTGTCTGTCTGCCTCAACAGCATATTTGTGTGAATGAGTATGTGATTTGATACTAGAATAATATTGCAACAACTATTAAGTACAGTCAATATATGTAACTCCCATCTTTTGTTCATTATATCCTAGAGTAAAGAATCAATTCAGGAGTTCAGAGTTAGCTTGATACTGTGTTTGGAGCCTGTGTTTGTCAAGAGTCTTTACACTGTATCTTGGAGCCCAATAATCAGTGTCATGCCAACTTTAAACTTATAAGTTGAGCACTAAGTAGTGTTGTTTGTGTATCAATTTCAGTTAAAATTTTGCATGACATTTATTAGTTTGGGGGCCCATAGACACACTGCAAATATGTTTTACATATCCAGGCCTCAAAAACAGTAACATGCTAGCTTTAAAGCTTCTGAACTGACTCCATAAAGATAATTTGAATGTGCTTCATGGCTATATTCATATTCCACAGTGATTTGCCAAGCCCTGTGGTATAAATGTGACAGTGTACTCTGATAACTTTTTAGGTTTTGGACAGAAGTTGGTTGTATGCACTGTCACATTAAGACTGAGGTTTCCCTCGTGTAATTTATTAGTTTGCTTAACAATTAAGGACAAATGCCAAAATTTGTTTACTAAGTGCACGATGAATGGAAGTGGATGGTATTGGCTGTATGTTGTGCATGTTCTAGTCTCTCATGAGTTATTTTTTTCCCTTGGAGAAATTTCTCTTTAGAAGTACAAATTAAAAAAGGGCTAAACCACTTCTGTAAAGCCACAACTATGTAACCTTAATTAAGGTTTATACTTATCCATAAGAAATGGATATATTTTTTGTTATGCTTAAAAAATCTTCATTTAGAAGATTTTTTTGCATATGATTTTTTTCTATTGTAATAATAAGCTGCATCAACTTACCTAAGGAGTTGCATTAGGAAGAGATTCAAAGATACAACCAGAATAGTCTTTATATAGTCAGTGAAATCTTTTCTCATGTTTTAACTTTTTATGATGGCTTGTGTACAAGTGCAAATTTTTACTGAAGTACAGTTTTATTAGTGTAATATAATGTCTATTAGTATAAATGAAATTATTGCTGTGTTAATGTTGAGTATGATCTTATTCAAAAGAATCTTATGTAACTTGTACATATTGTGAAGTGATGTCAGGAGAGCAAGTCCTATCAAATAAAAAAATACATCTACATTTCCTTTTAATATCCTTGCTTAAGGGGGTAAGAATAAGTAATCCTACGAGCTGTTACAATTTGTAAGATGGGTACTTTTATAATTGTTGGAGATTTATTTTTATTTTTTATTTCTATAACTACCATGTACTGTAATCGTTTTTAAGTTTCTTGGTTATTTTTCTCATTTTATTTTTAACTTTTTTTCTATACAGTATTTATTGCTTTCTTTCAATATTTTACTAACTGTATTTTTTTCATTATTATTATTTCTTTACTTATTATGTATTTCCTCTTACTTTAATTATCAGCTTATTTATAAAATAAAAAATTCTATGGATATATACTGGTAAATAACAGAAGTTTCAGAATAGTGATGATAATTTCAGGGTTGTTTTATTAGAGCCAAATTCTAATAATAGCATCTGTGACTTGCTTTAAAAAAAAATTCTTGGGACTTGCTCTGTTGGTGTCCAAGCTATGACAAGTGTTTGTGGACAAGTACCTGTGGCACTTTCTATGAAATAAAAATACTGTATCAAGACAAGTACAGGTATACCCCAATAACCGACACCTAGAGGGACTGGGAAAAGTTGTTAGTTAGTGATTCAACAATTATCGAAGCAATTAAACCCATAAGAACATAACAAATTCAGGGGCTTGACTCACTGAAGTGCCTCAGGGTGTAGTTGATGAAATTGTGCCTATCAGAAGTGAAGACTCAAAAGAACTTGTGAGAAGTATATACAGTACTGTAAATAACACCTCTAAGAATGAAGGACTGTAGCAAAGAATAGTACAGCACATGTATGTGACAAAATACGTAAATGACCTAATTGGAGTGCATTCATATATAAACTAAGGAATACAGGTATAACAAAACAAAGAGGAAAATTAATCGATATAATACGGTTCACACCACAAAAAAATGTACAGTATATAACAAGATACACATCTCACCTTAAATTGGAAACCAGTACTACGGTATTATGGTTTCATTTTATGAGTAATGTTGCATTCAAAACTGTCTGAATCCTCCATGAGAGTTTTGTACAAAATTCCATTGGAATTCCTTATTCTTTACTTGATGAGGGATCAGGCTCACTGCTTTCTGGTGAACCTTTATCTGTTACGTATCTTGCCAAGGAAGAAGATAACTCAGTCTGTGGATAAATAACAGGATTATAAGATGATAACAAAATGCAAAGCATAGCAAATTTAACACTAGCACACACAAAATGCCGAGATGACACATACATGTATGACAGCAAGAATATATGTTGAATGGGAGTTATTGGAGAATGTAGTACAGAAGGGGTGAACTTAAAATAAGCTGTGTTGTATAGCCAACTTCATATTTCTCTTTTAACCTCTTTGCCACTGATTGGCTCATTAGCTGCGTGGGCGGTCGGTCATGTCTCTGATATGCACTGTTGGCAAGTACTGGCTCCAGAATGCATCTGTACTTGCACCAGTGTTGGTTGTTAAGTCTGGTCTGATAAGAGCTCATAATCGGTGCTGTCACAACACTGGCAGATTGTTCCACAAGTTTACAATTCTCACTCTGAAAAAGTTTGGTCTTAAAATTTTTTGTGACTGGCTTCTTCAACCTTGAGCTGTGACCCTTGTGTGTGTGTGTGTGTGGTGGGGGGGGGGGAGGCTTCAGGTATGAACACTCGATCGAGTAGTGCCATCCGAGATGTTTATAAGCCCATCTATAGTATAAGCTAGGTGTTCTAATCTCTGCGTAACTAAGGTGCCATTAAGCAGACTCCAGTCTGGTGACCCGCCTTTGGGCATTTTCGATCAACTGACAGTATTTTGCATATCTCGAAGATCAGTACCCCATTCAGGGAAACACTTTACTCTTGAAGAGTGTTATGAGGGATGGACCATCTAAAGATCTTCTCAAAATGGCCCAAGAACTTCAGTTTGTTGTCAACATACACATCCAAGTCTTTATCACATTTGGTCTTTACTAATGCAGTTTCTTCATCCCGCTGGGACATGTGATATGCCTCCTTACTGTTGGTACGACCGAGGTGCATCCTCTTACACTTCAGGACATTGAATCTTGAGTCATTTCTTCGACCACTTTTGAAGCTGACAGAGATCTTTCTGTAGCTCTTCACAGTCTGTTTGGTTCTTAATTTTCAAGAATACTGTATTCTGGCATCGTCCACAAACATTTGTATGGAGGAGTGCATGTCATTTATGAAACAAACAAACAATAATGGGACCAGTACACTGCCTTGTGGTATCCTGCTTGTCACAGGTATACATCAAGATTTTGTGTCATTAATCACCGCACACTGCCTGCAGTCAAGAAGAAAGTCTCCAATCCATGCTAGGGCACTTCCCCAAATCCCATACCCTTTCAGTTTAATTCGAAGCCTTTCATGGAGTATGCTGTCGAAAACCTTGGCAAAATCCAGATATATATTGGGGATATTGCCACCCTGTTCCAAAATTTGAGTCCAAAATCCAGCACCTTGAGTGGTTGTGTCAAGCAGGAGCGTCTCGGCATAAAATATGTTGGCAATCCTTCATAAGGTTGTTTCATAGATGTTCCATTATGCCATCTCTTATAAAGCTCTCTAGTACTTAACACACTGCTCGTCAGGCTCACTGGTCTAGAATTATTCATAGAGTGGTAATTGCCCTGGGTACCTTAAGCTCCTCTAGGCATTTACAGAACAGGATTGTAATGGGCTCACCAAGCTCATTGCACAACTCTCTTAGCACTTTAAATTGCACTATGTCAGGGGCAGGGCACTTATGAACCTTTAGCTTTGCCAATTTATTTCTTATACCCTCTTCTTAGAACACAATGTGGGTCAGCACTGTGTCAAGCTATCTTTCCTCAAATGCAGGAAGATTGTTCGCATCCTCTCCTGTGAACACTGAGGAAAAATTTTTTAATGCCAATGCCTTGTCTTGATCTGAATTGTCAAGCCTCAGATTCAATAAAGGCTTTCACTCTTACAATGGATCCCCAATCTGCTGTAAGCACAGTACCAGTAATACCTTCCAAAGTTGTTCATGGCACACGTGTTGTTTTTTCTCCATCATTCATTATTGCAAGCTCTTACCCACTACAGTGCCCAGTGGGAGGCCAGTATCAAGAGCAGTACAGACTCTCACTCAATTAACGTCATTTATATATTTTTAGAAATATACAAACACTAAAAATAATGCCACATAAAATAGATCAATATTATTTGCAGCTTCCCTCAGAGGAGAGCTGCATTGTGAAATGAGGCATCATGTATAATATTTAAGATATTTATCCAATCATATTATATATACTATACAGTTTATAAGGAAAATAGACTTGGCATGGATGACCTTATATTATTGTCCTATAAACCTACTATACACAACAGCATCCATGCTCAACTAGCATTACAAATGTGAATGACAGAGTTGCTGTTTTAGAAGATGGATAGCAGTAAAGTTTGCTCCCAGTTTTGGGATTTTCCATTAACAAATTTATGAATACTTTGTATTTTTTCTCCCTTCAGTTGTAAATGCTATAAATTAATTACAATTGTAAAAAAACCAACCTGGTGGTGTACAAGGTTGTGAGAGACTCGTTGTGCTGGGGAACTGAGAATGCCAACTAGCTGACCCTGTAGAGTTTGCAGTGATGGCAGTGCAGCATATCGTTTGAGGTCTTCCACACTCATGAACCGATCCTCTACAACTCCACCAATAAGCACCAGTCCAGAAATTTTCTTTTCAATCTTCAGCAACTGAAACAGTTGATGTTATTAAAGGTAAACAGTGCAGGTATACAATTAATGGCAAACAGTGAGACATTTTTAACAAAGTTAGCCCAACAAAGTCATCATTAGCTTATTTCCATTAGGGTCCTTTAAGCAAAGGACCCTAATGGAAATACACTACAGGTATCTGAACTTACATTCCGATATAATTACTGGATTTAATGTGGCAAATTAAACTATTCTGCTCATTTATTACTGTAATGAAAAAGTTATTTTAACTTGAATACATAAACTAGGTACTGCACTACAAAGTTGTGTTCACTGCCTCTTAGTGCCATGAACAATCACAGATAATCATAAAAAATATGATTCAGCCTCCAACTGCTTCATTCTACTACAGTATACTGATGATGACAGTTGACAAGGAAAGGAGCAATCATTTAAGTGATGTTTAGAGTTTTAAAGAGATTTAAAAAAAAATGTGATCATTGGAAATCGTCATCAATCGTGAACTTTCAAATGTTGAATTTAATAACTTATGGAAAAATAAGATATGACGGAGTTGCGGAAATGTGTTCCTACACCTACTGTGGCAACCTGTGTCTCCAAACCATCGCAGTACTGCAGTAGAATCACTATTTATGAATGAAAGGGTACCCCCTGTACTCTATTGTGGTTTAGAAATAAAGAAAATATAATATATAGTAAAACTATAAAATAAGAACAATTAAGAACATGAGTGTGTATTTGTGGGAGGTGAGCATATGTGTGGAAGCAGTGAACTGTAACTGTGTTGCCGAATGCCTCCCCCCCCCTTCCCCAGATGTGATGTCCCGGCATATACACACAAACCTCAGAGTCGGCTGGTTGATTGCCTGGCTGAACTGTGTGGCGTCCTCCAGAGGATGATTTGAGTATGGAAGGAGTAATTTTCATACATAAAATGTGTGTTATAGTATAAATGATATGCTATGTACAGGTGTTTACCGTTATATGATGGGGTTAGGGACCTCAAAAACCCAGCGTTAGGTGATCAATCGTATAATGATATTAATAACTCATGGGGAATAATAGGTTCCGTTTCTGAGACCCTGAAGAGCCCAAACAATTTTTATATCCTGCTGCTATACTGATTACATGATGTCTAAAAAACTCAAATAATTTATAAAGAATAGAATAGACATATCCTGGAATACTGCGAGTTATTGCACATCACTTTTTCATATCAGTGACCCAGCAGAAGAGGGTTGTAAATTAAATAGTCTACGCCATTGGATTTACCATAAAAGTGCATATAGTGGCACACAGGTCTGGGGAGGGGGAAGTGGCATGGGGTATTTCAGCTGGTAGCTGTTTCATGTGTCCCCCACCCCCCTTATTTTTTACAGGGAATAGCCCACCCGGGCACAGGTCATCGACCCACAACAGGGCTAGTGGGCGAAAAAATAAGTAAAAAGAAATTAAAAATAGAAAATAAAAAGATTATATTAATCTACACAATGAAGATGCCGGAAAACCAGCTTCTTGATGTGCGACAGATTATATGAGTATGGAAACGTTGAAGAAGGCAGAGCATTTCACAGTTTGGCTGTGTGACGAAAGAAGGATGTACTATAACAGATTATTGTAGTGTGACTGACATCCGCACAGAAATGGTGGGCACTGCGGGCAAGACAGGTGTTAAAGAGCCCACGGCCTTGCCGGCGGTACACAGGATGCCAAATCCACCGAACATTGCCTGTTAAAGTACCCGTAAAAGAGAGAGAGTGAAGCAACATTGCGGCGAAGAGAAAGGGAAGAAAGGTTATCAACTAAAGGAGGAGAGTTAATAAGGCAAAATGTCTTTGATTCTACCCTATCTAACAGTAGGACAGAAGAAGAGCCACCCCAGATATGAGAGCAGTACTCCAAGTTAGGACGAATGAATCCCTTATATACTTGAAGCAACTGCTCAGGATTGAAGTAGCCACGGTATCTGTACAACATTCCCAGCTTTCGGGAAGCAGCTTTAGCAATGTTGTGGATGTGTGGCTTCCATATCTATTTAAGAATTTGGCAAAATGATTGCCTCCTGAAATGTGATTGGTGGGACATAATCTAATTTGGAAAGTGTAATTGGTAAATAAGGAGTTTTATTACTATTGAATTTAACCAAGTTTCTACCTCCCCATTCAGAGATGCTGCACAGATCTGCATTGATAGATGAAATGATGATATCTCTAGAAACAGATCTAGTTTGTGAATTAGGGGGAAGGGGAAAATGTGAAGAGTGAAATGATTGCCAAATTTCAACGCAGTATTTTTACTTTATTTTATTTTTTTAGGTCCTCACATTTACTGATACAGTATACACGCAACACAGTTCAGCAGGGCGGTCACCCAGCTGACTCATGAGACGTGGGTGGCTGCTGGCTGTGTATGCCATGACATCACATATGGGGAAGGAAGAGTGAGGCTGGCCCACTGCCTCAATACATACGTTCACTTCCCACATACACACCCATGCTCTTAATTTTTCTTACTTTATAGTTTTATATTATATTTTCTTTATTTTTAAGCCACAGAGTATTGCACAGTAATGATTTTTCCGCAACTTTTATGGTTTCATTACATGTATCAAAGACAACATGCCATCTCACAGGCCACCTCCCCGGTTTTTTCCCCGTCAAGATATTGCGAAAAAGAATTTGTTTACCCTTTCACCGCGCCCGCTAATTTCGGCGGTATTCCTCAAAAAGTGCCAAGTCACTAAAAATGGAAATGCTTACTTTAACATTTTAACTACAGTACCTTTGTTTTTTAATGAAAAAAACCCACAAGGAATCCATATTTAACAATTAAAAAGTCAAAGTAATAATATCTAGGGAAAATTTACGATTTTGTAGGGAAAACACTTTTTTTTCTGTGTTCATAATAATGGGCAATATCATAAGTAGATTATATGTCAGATAGTGTAAACTGCAAGGATAAATAGTTTATCTTCCATTGAAGTCACATAATTTTATATTACCGACCATTATTCATATACTGTACAGTAAACTCCCGCTTTACGCGTTTCACTTTACGCGTTTCCATGTTTACGCGGTACCCTGACGAAACCGGAATGCTCACTTTCCGCGGTGTGTGTACCCTTTTACGCGGATAGCGGCGCGAGCAGGGTGCGCACAAGGTCGCCCAGTCATCAAAACATTACCGAGTTCTTCGCCCGCCACCCACCACAGCCAGCCCAAGTCAGTGATAGTGATAATGATAGTGAGGATATGGACTTGTATGGACTTTGAGGGGTTTGACAAAGAGGCCCTGCAAGCCTCTGTGGTGGATAGTGATACAATTGATGCAAGTGATACAGGTGAGGGCCAATAATCTGCCCTCTACCTCGGAACCAACCCCCCATCCCCGTGTGCCCAGCCATCTTTTCTACTAATGTAAGTGTTAAAAAACCTAATATTATTGATATTTCTCTTAATTATTAATTGTGTGTGCATATTACCATAAAATTAAGAAGTTATACAACGTAGGTATTGTGTCTGAAAAAGTGGAGTTTGGGGGTCGGCCCGGTCTCTTTTTCAATTAATCCCTTATGTTATGTTGTTCACTTTACGTGTTTCTCACTTTATGCGGGCCGCCGTGGGTTCAATTGACCGCGTAAAGTGAGGGTTCACTGTATATTGAAACCCTATATCTTAGGGCCAAATGCGAAAATCATTTGTGCACAGATGAGAATGATAGTGGGTAAATGAAATAAAAGATCCAAATAGACTAGTTATTCTATTGCACTTGTTATTTATTTTGACTAGAACACAATATAAAGTAAGATTACAAAGATGAAGTTGATTTTAAGACAAAGAAGTAAACCACCTTTGGGAATATATATAGGTAAAGAATAAATTCATATATATCCTTAAAAACTTGATTTTCCTTCCACATTTTACACGCCTTACTCACTCACGTATTGCAGACATTTCTGAAAGGCAAATAAAAACACGGTGTCGGAAAACCCGTCTCAATATGCCATGTTTGGCACTGGTTACATGCGTTGCTCTATTTCCTCTTATACAGCTGCTCCTCGGCTTACGACGGGGTTAGGGACCCAAATCCAGGTCGTAAGTCGAATTGGTCGTAAGTCAAAAATGTTTAAATAATACATAGAAAATCTAAAATGGGTGTCTCTTTTTCTTCTAAGCACCACAAAACTCTCACTTTTAAGCTTGCCAGCCATTTTTAAGTGAATTACAAATGAAAATTTTGTCAGTACGTACACAGCGCAATCACTAACATCGGGACTCGAAAATACGTAATTTGACAAAATTTTGGTACGACTGAGGCGGTTGTATGTCCAGGTGGTTGTAGGTCGAGTATGTCGTAAATCGAGGAGTAGCTGTGTTATGTTTCCATTCTCCTCTATTCATTTTGCACTACCGCTTTCTAATACACATTTCATATAGTACACCCTTAAACTTTTAAAATATCACTATATACAATTTTTCTCTAAAAAGAAAACATGAATAAACAATGTCACATGATTTTCCATCATGGCATATGCAAGAAATAATTTCACTTCCCAAATTAACTCATTCATTTCCCTTCTAATTTAATGATCATCACACTCCAAGTGCTAGTATTGAATCTATAGAATAAATACTAACATTATATATATAATATAAACAGTTATTAGTCATAAAAATGGGGAAACTGGGCAAAACACAGCAGCAATGTTGACTCCTAGTGTTTTGATGGCAGGAGCTTCAGCTTGCCCCAGTCGCCGCTAGGTGACAGCATCTACTGGGTCGGCGCATAATTCAAACCCTGAAGGACTGAAGTCGGGTTACGCGTTAACAGAAAGTTCTTTTTACGAATGTGGACTAAAGTCGATTTACACGGTAAAGGACATAAATAAAAATGTGAATAAAGTCGAGCCACACAGTGAAAGGGTTAAGAGACGGAGGATTTAAAAAAATAAAATAAAAAATAAAAATTACTACAGTATACCGAATAAATGTTTAGTTAATTAACGCTACCTGTAATTTGTATTTATGGTCTTTGGGTCCATTACATACATGTTAGAAGTTACTCATTAGTTCCCAAATACTCGATTTGCCACACTGTTAGCCGTAAAGGAATACATACTAAAGATTCTTCTGTATTACTGTGCAAATGTCAGACAAGTATGAGGGGTGGGTAAAGTGAATACAGAACATGCCTCATGTCTGTTTAAACCCCAGTCCATCTAATTGTGAATGGGTAATACATAAGTTTAGAGCTGGCAATTGACTGCAGCCCCAGCCACAGTGTTTCCTTGTGTAAAAAAGAAAACAAAAAAGAAACTTACTATTAACTTTGCTTGCACACATATCAAGCCTAAGGTACCCACTTTTATACACTTTAGATAAACAAAGGAATCTTACCTTTGCCACAGCAAGCTGATCACCAGCAAAGGTGACAGTTGTTGATTCATATAACTTCAAGAGAGATTCATATTTTGTTCCTGAGAAGGCTAATTTTATCATCTGGAAAAAAATAAAAAAATAAAAAAATAAAAAATTTACCCCAAGCACAAATTCACTAGAATATGGTGATAACACGAGTAAGATGGATACGAGTACAGTATTGAAGAATTGTAGTCTTTGAAGTAAAATGGTTGCTCTACTATGGTGAGTACCATAGTAAGGTATTCACTGTAGTAATGTGGCTGCTGTGGTACTAAGGCCACTGCAGGAAGTTCATCACTTCATTTATCCACTGTTTATAGATGACAGGCAGATGGCAAACAATTCAAGTGAGTGATACTCAAAATGACACTAAATCAACCATGTAAAATTCCAAAAGGAAAACTTTGGAGAAGTATTACAACAGAATTTATATAGAAAATGTGCAGTGCAATACTGGGGAGCCTATAGCCAGGGTATCTGTACTGGTGGAATCACCATGTTTGATACAGAACAAAAACAATTAGGTCTTCAACTTTCCTTACCTCTGAGTCTCATAATTTCTCATTTAAACACCACTCACTATAATTCACCTGCAGACTCAAAACAATTTACATTCACTCTGAATCTTTTTAATTTGGACTTGAGCTTTATTTCTTTGCATCAAAATTTCTTTCTTCATAATATTTTTCTACCCTACAGGTCCTTTCCTGATCTGTTGTCGTGTTCCCCTTACACAACAAGGACCCAAGATACCCATCTGATTTATCCAAGTAGCCTAAAACATCAGTTTAGCAACAATTTCATACTTACATTATTGTTATGTTTAAGATATGCCATATTAATCTTGTTTAGTTGAAGCCGTGTTGCAAAGAGCTCTGCCTCAGACATGGGGAGTTGGTGAAAGATAGCTACTAGTTTAGCATTCGCAATCTTTTCCAAAAATTCTCGAGCAAGAATCTGCTCAAAAGGATTGATCTGCCCAAGAAAAGAAAAGAAACAAAGGAATAATTAATGTTCTCAGAATGTTACTGAACTAACACACAATAAAAAAAAATCAATAAACTTACAATCATCATATCAAGCATGCCTCCTGGTGCTTAACTGTCCATCTTTATGATCCTGGGTATACATAATGGCATGTACAGTCATGGTCAGAAGTCCTGCCACCTCTCCTGCTGCTCCAAAAGCCCCGAGATTCACTCATGAATCCAAAGCATCCGTTGGACAGAATAATCTACAGTCGGTGTCTACTGCTTCTGGTTCACAAGGCTGAATCTCGGAGTTCATGAAGCAGCGAGAGAGGCAACAGGACTTTTAACTGACTGTACAGTACCTGTACCATAAAATATTTGCAACCTTTATATGGGCTAAGGCATTACATCATACAGTACAGTATATAGTATTTGTCATGTTTCATTTTAAGCCCTGTTATCTTATTACATCGCACTAATAAAGCATCTTTACACTATTTCTCTTTTAATCATATTTATTACAATTTCCATGATACATTTAATATGGAAACGTGGAAAAAACAAATCTCGATAAAATCACACAGGAAAAAGGGAAACAATGGAGCACCTTAGCTTTCATCTTTATTCAAGACATCTTCAGAGGCAACTGAATTACAGGAACTGAGAGAGGCTTATGTTCACAGGGTGACCTTACAAAACATCAGGTCAGGTAAAAAAACATGATATCCACACACCACCACCACTGCAAACATAAGAGGAGCTTATAAGAATGAGTGACGTAACTAGTCATGTCAAGTAAAAATGAGACCCACTAAATATCTATCTTACATCTAACTCAAATGCTTTCAAAACATTTTTACCCTTATCATGAGAAATGGTCACAACTATATATTTAGGGTGTACAGAAAGCCTACACAGGTAGACAGTTTCATAATATTTTTATCGAGTCACCTTGAGTCTACCAAAATGTCATTTTTTTTCTGCGATGTTTTTGAGATGTTTGCATATTTGTGATCCTGAATTTATTGAAGAAGAACTGCAACACATTCAGTCCATTGCACAAAAACGAGGCTACCCTTCATTGTTTGTTGATCGTTGTCTTAAAAGGGCAAAAAATCCTTTTATTGCACTCAAACTAGACAAGTTCCTACATTTAAGAATATTTTGGCTCTACCTTATCACAATGAATTTGTCCCGTTAGTTCAGTCCCTTAAATTATTAAACATTAATTTTGTGTAGCAATTGTAATGGAAATTATGTTGGTCAGACTGGGAAAGCATTGCAACTCAGAATAAAACAGCACTCGGTATAATATTAGAACAGCATCTGAAAGCAGTGCACTTTTCATTCATAAAAGTAACAATAATCATCCCATGGATTGGGAAAACAGTTTAGAAGTGTATAAATCATCATGTGTCACAGAAACACTTCTGATTAAAGCAAGTTCGATTAGCGAAATGAATTCTATAAACCTTAGTACAAAACTGATATGTTAGATAAATTTATTTGTCAGTGGCCCAAGGTTAAAAATGTTTTGAAAGCATTTGAGGGAGATGTAGGATAGATGATTAGTGGATCTCATTTTTTTTTACCTGACTTGACATCACTAGTTACGACGTGCTTTCTCATAAGCTCCTCTTATGTTTGCAGTGGTGGTGGAAGTGTGTGGATTAATGGGTGTCATGTTTTTGACCTGACCTGATGTTTTGTAAGGTCACCCTGTGAACACAAGCCTCTCTCAGTCGTTTTAATTCAGTTGCCTCTGAAGATGCCTTGAATAAAGACGAAAGCTAAGGTGCTCCATCGTTTCCCTTTTTCCTGTGTGATTTCATATAGATAGATAGATAGATAGATAGTATATGCTGTACCTGTGTTTGTGATTTCAGTAAAATTTTCTCTTTCTTCTTGCATGTAATTGAAGGATACAAATCCTCCTCTGGATCTCTATATATGGGTTCTGTCAGCTTCAGAGCCACTGCCCGATGCCAATGTGGTATTGCAGGTTTTCGAAGGTTTGGTGTTCTTGACCGATTTCTTAATGTCTGTACAAGAGGACTCCTGACAAACAAGAATCGCCCGCCAATTGTTAAAGACATGATGCCTTGTATTTCTTAGTTACACCTGTAGAAGAAGATTTTATTTTTAAAGCATATGGATATCTTGGAGCTTTAATGTGGAGAGGTAAAATCATCACATGCCACAAATAAAGGGAATGTGTGTGTTGCTCTTGATTCTGGCCTCCCTGCATCATAGCAGGAAAAGGCTCGGAAAAATGAAAAAATTTTGTAGGTGTTTATAAATCGCACCCTAATCAGGTAAAGTAAATGTAAGAACAGTGATGCTACCTTAAAAATACAGTGGTCCCTCGGTTAACGAGCACAATCCGTTCTAGAAGGTTGCTCGTTAACCGAAAAACTCGTTAACCGAAACCATTGTTTCAATGGGTTTTTGGGTAATTGGTTCCAGCTCACCGAAAATTGCCTAAATTCAACAAAAAAGGTAGAAAAGTACACTTACTTTGAGGTGTGTATGTAGAAGGCTCCTGGATGATGATGATGATGGGAATTAGAATGGGGGTGGAGGAGAAGGGAGAAGAGAAGGCATTGGGGTGGAAGAGAAGTCACCCCATGGTGCCATTTCACCCATAAAATTTTAGTTCTCTTGGTGTAATTCAATATTATTTTCTTTAAATCAACACTGCATGGCATTATATATTGTCAATATGTAAAATAAATTTCAAAATGACCAATAATTTGCTTGCAAACACAGAAATAAAGCATTTAGTTGAAGAGAGTCTCAAGCAAGATGTTACCTCCACTGAAAAGACACAAAGACTGACGCCTGTATGCTGTGTTGGCAGGCTGGATGGTGTGCCACAAACTAGTGACCCTACCTTCAATTATGTTCAATAATTAATTGTTAAAATGACTAAAAAATTTAATATTAAACTTTTAAAATTATTGAATAGTATAAACTTCTTAATATTTAGTAAAAGGGTAAGGAATTTAAGCCCTAGAACCGATTACTGTGTTGGCAGACTAATGCTACAGCTGGTGGACCGCCAAATGCAAACTAAAACATGTGGAGGTCGGCTCGTAAGAAACTCGTTAATCGAGGGATTGCTCGTTAACCGAAATTAAGAATTTTATGGAAGGTAACTCGCTAACCGAAATCTGTTAACCGAGGCACTCGTTAACCGAGGGACCACTGTAATAATTTTACCAGATATTAATTAATTAATTAATTTCCTTGCTTATTTTAAGTTTCTGTTGTAAAATTTACAAACATTAAAAAATTAGAATTAAATGAGCCATATACTGTACATCTTAACCAAAAAGTTACTTTAGATCATGTTCTCAGGCCAACTTCAGTACTGTATTGTACTGTATAATTACCGGGTAGCTTTGGTGTATTCATTTCACTTGTTTTCAGACAAAAACTTAGTGTCAACTCAACAATCTCTTCGAAGGTTCCTTTCAGATTTCTTTTTAATATTAAAATAGAAGATAACTGCAGTATTTTAGGTTAAGTTTGGTAGGTTAGTTTGGTTCAATTTATGAACGAAAATATTGAAAATGTAGTAGGCTACCTATACCTGCTACTTCTGGAGTTTACTGCCAATGCCTATGTAACATTCTGGAAGTACAGTACAGTACTAGTACTGTACCAAATACTGATACATTGTATAATTTATCACTCATAAAATGAACCAAACTAACCTACCAGACCTAACCAAAATACTACATTCTCTTTTATTTTAATCTTCTAAACCCCCCCAAAAGAGATATACATTAAGTGATACAGTATTTTGCAAAACATATTTCTTATGGATTATTCGCCATACACCTGTCCTATCCATACCAAACTTAATCTAACCAGAAGCAATAGATTTTATTATTGGTACACGAAGGTCAGATTCGTTTAAAACACTGAAATACACTGGAAAAACATCGGTCAACCCCTAGTAAAATACTACGGTAAAGGTAGAGAAGAGGGTAACCATCAGAAGGAATTGTCTGAATTGGTTTAAAATTTTTCTTCACACTAATATCATGATATTAAACACAAAAATGGAAACTACAATGGGTATGTTAGGTCAGGATCTACTAGGTTCTATGCATCGTCGTTTCCATTCTTGTGTTTAATATCATATTAGTGTAGAAAAAATTTCAACCAATTCGGACAATTCCTTCTGATGGTCACCCTCTTCTACACTTTTACCAAATTTACCGCTACATTATTTATTTTGCCCAGAAAACCATTTTGCACAACTACTGTACCTGGGCGATTCGAGCCGCCAAATATTTATACTTTTATCGGTAAAAGCGAAAACATAAAAAAGACGATAAACCTTCATTGTGACAACCTGAACTTTAGTAGAACCAAAATATAATAACCGCAGGCAATCTATATGTGTATGACAAGGACGAATTTAGTAGATACCTCAGTACTCCAGGGATAAAATATGCTGTTGCCTCGATCAGTAGCTCCTCCAAGTACACAACACAGTGTTAAAGAAGGACGGCGGTCGACCAGCACCCGAGTCCAAGACCCAATGACAACCCTCAGTGCCCGAGCCAAAGAGAGTATATAGGAGGAAGTTCTTCTGAAAGAGACGTGATGTAGACCCCCGTAGTGTGTGGCTGCGTGCGGCTGACCACTAGATGGCACTGATTAAATGGCAGAAAAAGTCGTCGGCTGGACATGGTGAGTCGGTGACTTGAGTGACACAAACATGGCGAGAAGGAACAGGCTTCACTGGTGTGTTGTGTGCGGCACAAATAAAAACAACAATAAAGACATGAGGTTTCATTACTTCCGAAAGTACAAGCAAAGGTAAATTGCAATTCCACCTCCCACTGTTAGAAAGTAAAAAATATATTTTTCTAGTGTATTTGTGTGCTGAGACCGAATATGACCTTCAGTGGTAATTTTTTCTTGTAGCACCGTTCACTTGTAGCAAGTTAAAAATATATTTTTCTAGTGTATTTGTGTGTGCTGAGACCGAATATGACCTTCCTTTTTGGCGGAAATTAGCCGGGTTTTTTTTAACGATTTTTTTTCGTTTGACATTTTCCGAGATTGAAGAAGCCGCAAGTCCAGAAAACCGTGAGGGCAAACTTTTTCGGAGTGAGGGTTGTAAACTCTTGGAACAATCTACCAGAGAGTGTTGTGACGGCACCGAGTGTGAGCTCTTTCAAGACAAGACTTGACCAACACTGGAGCAGGTTCAGGTACATTCAGGAGCCGGTGCATGCTCAGTATTTGCCAACAGTGCGTGACAGAGACGTGACCGATCGCCCGGGCGGCTAGCGAGCCGATCTTTTGGTGAAGAAGATAAATGAAAAGGAAAAGTAATCAGAGACGTGACCGATTGCCCAAGCGGCTAACAAGCCGGTCAGTGACGAAGAGGATAAAAGTAAAAGTAAAAGTTTACAAGGTTGTCTCGGAGTAGATGTTCCATTGTGGCATCTCTGATAATACTCTCAAGTACTTTACATATTATGCTGGTCAGGCTCAAGGGTCTATAGTTGTTCGTAGAGTGACGATCGCCCTTCTTGAAGATAAAACTCACCAAGCCACTTTCCATTCACTGGGGATCTTTTGTTCATCCAGGCCTTTACAAAACAGGATCTTCAGGGGCTCGGCAAGCTCGTTACACATCCCTCTTAGCACTCTAGGATGCACCATGTCAGGGCCGGGACTCTTATGGACCATTAGCTTTGACAGTTTATTTCTAATATACGTATATGTTTAAGTGAAGGAAATTGATATCCACTGACATAAATATCTCTTATGTCATAATTTGATCTTTGATCAAATTTTGCAAAAAACAAATTTCTGTATGATTTTGAACAACCTGGTTATGTTCCTTTGTTAGGAAAGGATCATGGAGAGGCCTCTGAATACATATGTCCAGTAGTTACCGTGGTATACAGTACTATACAATACAACTTTTTTTTTGCTTTTCATTCATAATCCGAGTGTTTGGTCATTATAGCATCAGCTCACATGTTACAGTATAATTGTAGTTGCACAGGTTGCCCTCATTTATTTTAGGAATTGTATTCCAAGAAAATGCTGACAAGTTAAATTATAAAAAAATGAATACAGATTTTCATAATAAAAGAGGGGTCATGCTCACAACCTAAGTTGATAATACCTGTACCTGTACTGTACTTGTGCAGTGTATTAAGTTTTAATGCTTACAATTGTATAAGTACTGTACAGTAATACAGTAATACTGTATCCGTTAGCCAGAATCCCTCAGACCCAGAATTCTCCGATAACCGGAATTGAAATTCTATCAGAAAATTGTTCCCAAAGCCATAATTTTCTGGAAAATTATGGCTTTGGGAACGATTTTCCAAGGGGAACATTTTCCGGAAAATTCTGAGAAAATTTCCCCGATACCTGGAACATTCCGTGGGTGGGGGAATTTATTTTTTTTTTTTGCGCGCGGGTTTGAGATGAAATCAGGCACATTTTCTGGAAATTTTGAGAATATTTTGCAGGTGCCCGGAAAATTCCGGGGATGGGGGATATTTTTCCGAGTTCGAGAGATGAAGTAATGAGCAATTTCTGGAGCTTCCGAGAACAATTTCCGTTACCTGGAGAATTACCGGGGTGAAGGATTTTTTTTTGGCTTTGAGAGAGTCATCTCATTACCCGGATATCTCATTTCCGGAAGTACTCTGGACCTTATTGTTCCAGCCAGCAGAGATTGTATCTCCATTAACCAGAATCCCTCTAACCCGGAACTCTCCGATAGCCGGAATTGAAATTTTCTTGGAAAATCATTCCCAGAGCCAGAAATTTTTGGAAAATTCCAGCTTTGGGAAAATTTTTCCGAGGGGCACATTTTCTGGAAATTTCAGAGAAAATCTTCCCATTACCCAAAAAATTCCGGGGATGGGGGGAGTTTTTCCGGGTTTGACAGATGAAAACCAGGAAAAATTTTCCGGAAATTGAGAGAAAGCTTCCGTTACACGGAAAATTCCAGGGGTGGGGGTTATTTTTCCAAGTTCGAGAGATGATGTAATGCGCAATATCTGAAATTTCTTGAGAGAATTTTTCCGTTACCTGGAAAATTTTGGGGTCGAGGGATTTTTTCCGGCTTTGAGAGATGAAATAATGCACCATTCTGGAACTTCCGATAAAATTTTTCCATTACCCAGAAAATTCCAGGGATGAGGGATTTTTCCAGCTTTGAGAGAGTTGTCTCGTTCCCTGGAAATCTCTCATTCCTGGAAGTGCTCTGCACCACCTGTTCCGGCTAGCAGAGTTATCACCGTATTCAGTACATGTTAATAATATTAATTAAGTATACAGGTACTGTACTGTACTTGTACTGTACCTATCAAAACGTAAGCACTTTTCACAAATGTTGGCAGAGGTTAATGATATAAATGTCTGATCTTGGTCTTTGATCCATAAAGCTTATATATTGTACACCCTCCCCCATGCCATTTGCAGGTGCTGCATGGTTGATTATTTGATTGTGGTATGTAATTACATCCCCGGTGACATAACAGCTTAGGTCATATGAGGTGCTGCATGAAGCTCAAGGGTGGTAAGTCTTATCTTACTCCAGCCATAACATTGATATTTCACTTTACTCCCAGTCCATTCCCATCAAGTACTACAAAACTTTATTTTTCACTTAATCCTCTTCAACACTGATCAGCCCAAATGTTTGGCTTTTAGCCTAAATTCCATAAATCAATCAACACTGATCGGTATACAGTATTAGCCACTTGGGTGGTTGGTCATGTCTTGTTATGCACTATTGGCAAGTACTGGGCATGCATTGGATCCAGAATGTACAGTATTTGAATCTTTGCCACTGTTGATCAAGTCTGGTCTTAAATGAGTTCACTCCCTTTCATTTTTTTCTCAGATAATGTCATCAGATCGAATTTTCCTTTCATAAACACTTTCTTATAACTACAAAAATAAAATCTTTGTATAACTCTTTGAGACCTACTGTGATAAAATGTGATGCTCCATGCACCTTGTGATAAGATTCGGTTTAGTGAAAGCCTTTCCCCATTTCATTTGTATAATATATAACTACAGTACTTACAATACAATGTAAAACTATTCATTTATTGTACAAAAAACAATTTCATACAAAAATTATAATTCATGTTCCAATTTTCAGTAATGAGTCACCCAAAAAAACTTTGGAGTATCCAAAATATGAGCATTGAAAAAGTAGTTTACAGCTACGAAATAAATGGGTAAAGAATTGTTACCTAATATACTGTAAACTCATAAATTTCAAAATGAGGCAAGTTTAGTATTAGTTAAATGTAGGGAAATAAAATAAAAGATGGTACAATGCTATACTGTACAGTATTGTAGATAGTGTTGAGACTACTGTATAAGCTCAACTCTCATGAGAATGAGAAATCCTCATACTGAAACCATTACACTCTTAAGAACATTATCTGTCTGATTAACTCTTGACATTGATGAGAGTAGGGCCTTTAAATAAGTGAGGTTTCTTGCCCTTGTCTGAAGCAATACAGTACTACTCATCCCATAAGGTCACTCATGGATGCCAATGTGTTGCAGGTGATTGCATACAAACTGGTCAGACCCTGATAAATTTATAACCACCTTGACCACTGGTTGCATGCATATTTGGTCAGCACTGGGTTTTCATGTGTGGCCTTAGGAAGGGCAGAAAAGCTTGACACTGGGGATTTTCAAGTTTTTTGTCTAAAGATACATAATGTTTGCAGAATTGAAGATTTGCCATACAGTATTATGTTGTAAGTTGAAGCTCCCAAGAAAATAAGAAATTGCATGCATTAAGGCAATAAAGCCAATACAAATGTAAATAAACAACAAAAAGTGGAAATAGCTGGAACATGTAAATACTGTAGTGTAGTGTAAACAATTTACACCTTTGTGTAATGGGTTTGAACCAAGGTCATCAAACGTGGTGGCCATGGTTCGAATCCGGCACCCAGAGGTGTAAATTGTTTACATTGATTTACTTGTGTATACAGTGTATTACAGGTTCTGATATGTAAACACTGTACTGTAACAAACCATCAGTGTGTCACAAAATGAATTTGGTTATGTTTGTAACATTCAACTACAGTATGTTCTGTAGCTCTAGACAAGACTACTGTATCTAAAACAATGGAGGGATCGTACACATGTCCCTCTAGTCTAGGTGGCCATTAAGTAGGCAAATACATGAAGTCTAAACCAGGACAATAACATAGCTAAACGTTCTCTGACCTTGCCTTGCTGTGGTTAAACATATACTGTATACAGAACTATATCTATAAAAGAATATTTATCTTGAATAAAAATATACAGAGGTATGTACAATAGTAGTGTACAGTATATGCATTTATACAATAATGACTACAATTAAAGTGATCATTCACTTTGGTCTTTGTGATCGAGTGTTAACTTTAGATACTATTCAACATCAGTCATCTTAATATACAGCAGAAAATGGCAGTGTAGCTTTAGAAAGGGGATGGGTAAATTTTAGTTAAATCTTTCTCAAACAAGTTCATATTAATCAAATTTAAACTTCTTATAAGTTGAAGACAGATGGATTTATCCAATTCTCACAGCAGTTTTCCTTCACCTTTTAGTTCTCAAAAATACAGTTAAACTGATACTCTGATATGTTTTACAATATACACGATGCTAGAAAACGAAATAACATTTCCATTTCCCTTATCAGTGGTAAAGTTAATTTAGATACCCGGTAACCGTGCTTATCTCTTAAGAAACGAGACTGTCATTATTTTGCATAAACTCACACAAAATGGGAGCAACAATTTCTGCGTTATTCAAGTGTACATGATGGCTGCCTTCTACGATCTTGTATATATATTTTTTAGCTTTTTTTTCATAGATGCTTAGCATTTCATTGTACATTTCCATGCTTTCATACAATGGCCCATTTGAACACTTGATAAGCAATAACTCGCATTGTATTCTGTTTGCAAATGCCTTCTGTTGTTCAAAGGTCATTCCAAAGATGTTTCTTGCTTTCAGCTGAGGGTCATAGTTGAAGGAATACAAACCGTCTGCATGTTTTGTTGATCCTCTCTTAAGTAAGATCTTAGCAGCCTCCTCACTTAAAGAATCCCCATAAGATTTTACCATCTTGTCTACCATGTCATTAAATTCATAACGTGGTGGGAGTCTTCCAATTTTGGATTCTAATGCTAAGAGATCTCCAATTCCTTGAGCAGTTTTCAGAGGTTGATCAGTAGCATCAACTGAAATGGGTTTGATGAGGTCTATCATTATTACTTTCTTAACTTTTTCTGGGAAAGTTCCTGCATACAATATGGAAGCACCACTACTCATACTGTGTGCCAAGAGGTTCACCTGGAAATGAAGATAAAATTTACAAATCTGCCATATCCGATTCTGAATCCAAAATATTTTCTACACAAATTAAATCCGATTGACCGTGTTCAGACAGGCAATGAGAACCTGAAAAATTAGTTACAAGATTTTATTAATTTGTTATTGATAGATCCTAAGCACTGATAATGTGCAGAACTGGAGTTTTTTTTAAACCCTCTACTTAATTACATGACTTAAAAACTATAATACAGTACAGTAGAGGTTGCTTTAAACCGAATTCGCACTAAATCGAAGTGTTGTTTCAATGGAATAATTTAGTTTGGTACTTGAGACGAACACAAAATACTAAAAAGACTGAGAGTCTACCCAGATGTACCTCAGCCCATCTCCTAGAATAAACAAAACATTGATTTTTGTTGTATTATGCTAAAACAAACACTCATAAATCAACAGCTAAAATTAAAGGATGCAAAATGGTCTGTACAGTATTCTAGCGATCAGCTGATGTGAGAGGGTGGTTGGGCTGGTGCTACACTCCACCAGCCTCTCGTCTGACTCGCCAAACACTTTCACTTTCCTCTCAACTTAGTTTTTCATTACTTCTTGCTGGCCCTTCCCTTGCCCCAACTGATAGTCTAGCCAGATGTACCTCAGCCCATCTCGTAGAACAAACAAACACTCATAAATCAACACAGCTAAAATTACGGGATGCGAAATGGTCTGTTTACTAGTGATCAGCTGATGTGAGAGGGTGGTCGCGCTGACGCTGCGCACCACCCGCCTCTCGTCCGACTCGCCAAGCACTTTCACTTTCCTCTTAACTTATTTTTTAATTACTTTATGTTATCTAAAATAGATTTTCACTCAACTTCAGTTAGGCAATTCATCCTCTGAAGATGCAGAGCTCAACTCGACCAGCTCATTATCCACATCACTGTCCAAATTGGTGCCCCCTTGAAGCACCATTTCCTCACTGCCATGCTTCCAGCACCTTGATTTTCTGATTCCAGTGTGACTGCTTGCCTTGATTTCTTGGTCTTTGGGGTAGTTAATGATGTAGTAGCTGGCCTCTTGGACATATCCGGTAGTGTCATGGTTGATGCACGTGGTAGAAGGAGATGGTGTCACACAATATGTCTGTTCACTAGAATGTCAGTGCGAGAACTGAGGATGCGCGAGGGTGGCGGGCAGCCGTTTAGCGTGCTCAGAGACGCTTGTGGTGGTAAACATTAGGCGCAAATTTTTTAACTGTGTGTATTTCCATATGTTGTGCCAGAATGACTCGCGTAAATAGGAAAGATTCGCTTTAAATTAATACTTTGTCCTTAATTGTGGGTGTCGCTTTAAATCAATAATTTTAAATTGAATCACTTTAAATCGATGTTCTACTGTATACAGTAAACCCTTGCCATTTGTGAGTTTACGATTCGCAGTAAGCAGATGGTGGCTAGCTTGCAAGCCTTTTCCCGCAGCACAACGAGTCACCCCATGCAACATCTCATGTTGTACTCTCAAAACTTTAGTGTTTCTGTGTGAAATGGCCCCTAAAAGACTGCCTAGTGTCAGTGCTAGTGGAGTGAAATGTAAAAGACATAAGTCAGTGATGACCCTGACAAAAAGGTTTTGTTATTAGACAAGTTAAAAGAGGGGATGAGTCCTGCCACGGCTGGTCAGGTGTTTGGTATAGGTATACAGTAGTGCACTAAGGTAGTATAAGTTGCTATTCGCAGTTTTGCCAATTCGCGCCATTTCTTGGAACCTATCCCTCGTGAATGGCATCAAAACAGCATCATGGCCCATATGTGAGGTCAGCAAAGTGCCTCCCTTCTGACTGTTATCAGGTGAACATATTAATGCATTAATATGGGAAACTTTAAAGAACTGTATTAAATTGCAAGTTGTAGGAATGCTGTTAGGCTAAATAGTTTGTATAATTAGCCTGAGAATTGAGATCATTTGTTAAGGTTTGTTTGTGCAATAACACGGTTATTTTTACCAATAGCATAGGGAAACCACTTTTAGCTGGTACAATACTGTATTGAGGAATGAAAAAAAAATTATGGCCAGTGTCTTATGGCTTATACTGAATAATATTGCTAAGAGAGGAAAGGAATATTTATAGAATCTGATGTTAGTACTGTACAGTATATCAGAAGGGAATGTTGTGCAAAACTTCAATGAGGGTGTATTTGCAATAGGAGTGTACTGTGAATGAAGGCAGCTAGAGAAATACTATATTGTAGTATACTACAGGTACTGTACAGCAATAAACAACACATTCTAACCATATTTCATTTCTTAGAGAAGCATTAGACATATTTAATATTGTACAGGATATTTCATTAAATAAGATTTTAAAGTTTAATAAGTATCAAATGAAGACAGTTGATCAGCAGATAAATACTTTTAGTTCCCCAACCTTAATAGATGGCAGCCTGCCATCGCCCAGCACTATGCCAACCAAACACAGGACGAGTCACCTTGAGTGAACAACTGCACTCCAGGAAGCAGTTGTTCAGACTCAAGGAGATGTATAATTTGTTAAAGTGTGTTGAATTGATGGAATGAGTACTGAAGTGAGAACAAATGGTGTCATAAGAATTATTTACTTTAATCTAGTCCTCACCAGTTGCTTGGCTAACATACCTATGGCACTGTAGTGTATCCCCATCACCTTTAGTATAAGAAAATCATTAAATATGTCTTGAATGTTTCATTTATTAGAGAAGCATTATTATAATTTTAATACTGTATGTTTCATTAAATAAGTTTTTAAAGGTTGAATAAATAAATATCACACGAAGACAGTTGATCAGTTTATGAAACTGTAATTTCCCCCACCCTCCATAGAAGGTAGCACGAGCAGGCACATCATCTGATAGCATGTACATTAGACCCTTGCCATTCGCGGGTTTGCGATTCGTGGCAAGCAGATGGCAGCTCTGGTGGCTAGCTTGCGAGGCTTTTCCAGCAGCGCAATGAGTCACCCCACACGCCTGTGATGTCTCCTCTCCCTCTGTTTGCGCTCACCCAGTACCTGTGACCTAGCATCTCGTGTTGTACTCTCAAAACTTTCGTGTCTCTTTGTGAAAATGGCCCCCAAAAGACTGCCTAGTGTCAGTGCTAGTGATACCAGTGGAGTGAAACATAAAAGGCAAAAGTCAGTGATGACCCTGACAAAGAAAGTTGAATTATTAGACAAGTTTAAGGAGGGGACGAGTGCTGCCGCGGGTAGTTGGTTATTAGGTGTGAACGAATCCACAGCGCGGTACATAAAGAAGAATCAACAAGTAACTCGTGATACTGTTCAAGCGAGTGCTTCTGCAAGTGCTAAAGTGGCGCAGGTTGTTTGTGACAAGAACATAGTGAAAACAGAGAAAGCACTGAACATTTGGATTGAGGACCACCAGCACTGCAAAAATGTTCCGATTGAAAGCAACGTGATTCGTGAGAAAGCTAAAAGTCTTTATGTTCATTTTTATGAGTTAACAGGTGGTAGAGGGGTTAGTGTGGCTACTGAACCAACTTTTAGTGCCAGTGAAGGTTGGGGAGGCTGCATCAGCTGACCACACAGCTGCAGATGCATTTCCCACCAAGTTAAAGAAAATAGAAGAAGAGAAAGGCTATAGACCTGAGAAAGTGTTTAATGCCAATGAATCCAGTCTGTATTGGAAGTAAATGCCTGGTAGAACGTACATAAACAAGCAGGAGAGGCGTGCCCCTGGGTTCAAGACAACCAAGGACAGTGATACTCATCTTCTGTGGCAGTGCAGCTGGTCACAGGATCAAACTTGGCTTGCTTTACCGCTCAGCAAACCCTAGGGCTTTAAAGGGTAAAAACAAGAACCTATTGCCAGTTTTTTGGCAGTCCTACAAAAAGGCATGGGTAACTGTGCAAGCATTCCTGTATACTTCGTCCCAGAAGTGGAAAAATACCTTGCTTCCAAGAAGATGGAATTCCAAGTGTTATTATTGATAGATAATGCACCAGGCCACACAGAAAGTTTGCAATTTAGCCATCCAGGTGTAGAGGTGGTTTTCCTACCCTCTAACACCACTGCTCTTATTCAACCTTTCAATCAGGGTGTAATATGCACCTTCAAGGCATATTACACCCGACGCTTTTTTGGTTGTATCTGTAGTGCTATGGACGCAGACCCTGACCTAGATGTTAGCAAGTGTTGGAAGGAGTTCAGCATTGCGGACTGCATTACCAACGTCAGTGAAACTTTCAATGAACTCAAACCAAAGACAGTGAATGCTTATTGACAAACCTTAAGGCCTGAGTGTGTGAATAACTTCCAGGGATTTTCGTCCATAGTAAAGGATGTGAATGACATTGTGAGTGTTGCACGTCAATTGGGTGGTGAGGGGTTTGTAGATATGGCTGCTGAAGACGTGGAAGAGCTGATTGGTGGGCATGGAGAGGAATTGACAGAAGAGGATTTGGAAGAGTTGGTAAAAAGTGCCAATGAAGATAAAGAAGAAGAAATTATGAAATTGCAACAAGAAGGTTGAGGCTTGGACAATTTGGGTGAACTATTTCGACAGGTGAAGATGGTAACTGATTTCATTGTTGACATTGACCCTTCCATGGAACGGAGCCTTAAGATTGTCTGAGGAATCAACCAGGTATTGTTTACATATCAGGAAATGTTTAAAGACCTCAAAGCAAAGAAGAAACAACTACCAATCACGATGTTTTTCAAGAAAGAACCAGCTACTACTGCTGGCACTCCACCCTCCTCCTCCAAGCCACCCAACACCTCACCACCCACTTCCCGGCCACGCACCACCTCCTGGTCGCGCGCCCCTCCACTACCCACCTCTCCACCACCCACCTGTGCATCACCCTCTTCCAACAGTGATCCTGATGATCCTCCTATGCTTTAGTAACCAGATGTCGCCCATGTACAGTGCACCATTTCATCCAGCTCCAAACTTCCACATACAAATGTAGGTATAGTATTGGTGACTTAAGTTTCTCATACACAGTATACTGTAAGTATATATTAGTGCACCAAAGTAGTATATAAGTTGCTATTTACGGTTTTGCCAATTCACGCCGTTCCTTGGAACATAACCCTCGCGAATGGCAAGGGTTTACTGTATTTAAAATTACAGTACAATACAGAACAAATATTTAATAATTTATTGCTACTTGCTAATTGTTGAAGGCATGAATATGAAATAAATGAATAATCAGTGACTAATCTATATTGTATGCATATTTCCATTATTTACCTAATGGCCACCCACTAGAGGTGGTCCTGATGAGGGACAGTGGCCTGTGTAAGATCCCTCCATTGATTTTGATCACTTCGTCAATAGCTATTTTGACGATCAGTACTGTCCTGTTCATGACTCCACAGCTTGGGCTGGTAGACCATCCCATAGGTCTACCACCCTCTATGTAAAGAAGTGTTTCCTTATGTTTGTTCTGCATGACAACTTGGCGAGTTTGTTCTTATAACCCTCTCTTGTTGGTAGTGTGTGCTATCACAAAGAAATGGCCCAGGTTCACGTTATCCATCCCTTTCCGGATTTTGAATGTTTCAGTGTGATCTCCCCTATTGTGCCTTGCCTGAAGGGTTGTTAGTCCTTAGGCCCTCAGCCTTCGTACTTGTATAATTGAGGTGACAATTCAGGAATCATGTTAGTTGCTCTGTGTTGAACCTTTTCTAGGAATATTAGGTTTATCTGGAGGGACGTATCTGAGATTTGTACAGTTGAAGAAGCATTTTCCTATTTTTGCATTCAAAGGTATGCCTTATAATTATTAAACCTTGGTTTTTCAGGAATGCAACCCTATTGTTAAACGAGGGATACCTGTACAATATCTTAAATCTTTATTCGATACACTGTACTGTACCTAAATATTTGTCAGTACAGTTTTACCCCGCCTAACGCGGTTTCACTTAACGCGTTTTCGCATATACGCGGTGCCTTGCCAAAGCTGAACTTTCACTTAACGCGGATTTTTTCCACATATACGCGGTGAGTGTCCGAGACGCTATTTTTAGATTTGCCCCACCCGCCACCCTGCCTGTTTTAGCTCATAAAATTCATACAAATTACCAGGCCAGAATATAATTTACATTGCTGGAATTCTTATAATTTGGTGATCATTTTGAATATAAACATCATATATTTTGCTTTAAACTTACAATTTTTAGATAAAAATTTTTCTCTAGGTAACTATGGTATCTTTTGTGCAAAATATATGACATTTATATTCAAAATATTCCTGGTCTTACAAGGAATCCAGCAATGTCAATTATATTATCCTAACTTTAGTTTGAGGTATTATTTATTAAAATTTAGTGGTTATCCCACACATCTCCTTGGGACGGTTGGTGGGGGGTGGGGGGGAGGGAGGGACCAACCGACCATCTGTTACCCTGTGAAGAATTATTATTTTTTTTTATTAACTGAAGATATTTGTTTTAGCTCATAAAATTCATACAAATTACCCGGTCAGAATATAATTTACATTGCTGGAATTCTTATAATTTGGTGATCATTTTGAATATAAACATCATAGATTTTGCTTTAAACTTACAATTTTTAGATAAAAATTTTTCTCTAGGTAACTATGGTATCTTTTGTGCAAAATATATGACATTTATATTCAAAATATTCCTGGTCTTACAAGGAATCCAGCAATGTCAATTATATTATCCTAACTTTAATCTGAGGTATTATTTAATACTAAATGTTAAAAACTCTGGAAGGGAGGATTGGTGGGGGGTGGGGGGGAGGGTTGGGACTGACCGCGCGGTTGGAAGAGGGGGGGAGGCAAGGTGGGGTACTTTGATTGACAGATAGTGTCATGAAGATTATTTTTTTTTTATTAACTGAAGATATTTGTTTTAGCTCATAAAATTCATACAAATTACCCGGTCAGAATATAATTTACATTGCTGGAATTCTTATAATTTGGTGATCATTTTGAATATAAACATCATATATTTTGCTTTAAACTTACAATTTTTAGATAAAATTTTTTCTCTAGGTAACTATGTTATCTTTTGTGCAAAATATATGACATTTATATTCAAAATATTCCTGGTCTTACAAGGAATCCAGCAATGTCAATTATATTTTCCTAACTTTAGTTTGAGGTTATCCCACACATCTCCTTGGGACGGTTGGTGGGGGGTGGGGGGGGGAGGGAGGGACCGACCGACCATCTGTTAGCCGGCTGTGTAGTGTGAGAGGGGGAGGGAGTTGAGTCCATTATTTGAATGGACATTAACTTGGCGACTGTATTTCTCTATTTCTCTTAAGTATTAATTGTGTGCATGTACCATCATAAAATTAAGATGTTATTTTTACTACAACATAGGTATGTGCCTTCAAAAAGTGGAGTTTGGGGGTCGGGCCGGTTTCTATTGGAATTAATCCCATATGTTCTGTTGTTCACTTAACGCGGATTTCACTTAACGCGGGACCCTCTGGGTTCAATTGACCGCGTTAAGTGGGGTACAACTGTACACTTTACATAGCTAGTGCTTAATTCTGCTTAATTTAAATTTTCTCAAATATTGTTACCGTCACAGTAGGATAAACTAGAAGAGAGAGGGAAAGGAAGACAGGAGAGAGACAGAGTGTTGACAACGAACTTTGCTGAGGTGCGAAATGTAAAACAGATGGCCCTCGCCTCGGGCTGACTCGCTCCCTGTGGGATTCAGAAGATAGTCTCTAGCCGTCCAGTGAGCTAATAAGTCCTACATTAGACTTGAAACATGCAAGTTTTTATATGGTTAACACCCTACTCTACTCAAATATATCATCTGTATTTGTTAATAATGAAGGAACGTACAAATGAATTAATTATCTCGTTTGTAATTTGCACTCTGCAGGTTTTGACCGAATAAAAAACAACCGAGTCCTACGTGCAAGGGTCTCATTGTCCCACAGTTGCTCATTGGGCGGTTACAAATATAATTAATACATTTTTATTTGTTCATCATGCAACCTAAAAAGTGATCTACATATTCTCTTCAGTTCCTAATTTGTTAAGGTCATCTGTATCTCGGCTCACCTCACTCAACCCGAAGTGCTGCACGACTCGTTCTATAACAAGTAACAAGTTTGAAAAATGGTGTGAAGTTCCGGAAGGCCTGTGAGATGAGAGGCCATGACCAGGTAAATCTATGGAGATCAAAGAGACATTTTTGGGAAGCAGAGGAGCCAATTTGTCCCAGGTCCCTGCATTGTCCATCCACCCATGGAGACCTACAAAAGGTATTCCTCCTTCATTCCATACTTTTCCTGAAACAAAATGAGGAAAACATTTAAAAATTCTGGAGAGGGAATGAGGCTCTACAGATGTAAGTTTATATCTGGTAAAGATACTAATTTATCAGACTTGGATTATATTACCTTCTAAAAGGATCTAATTGAAGAAATGACAAAGGCAGGATACAGGGTTGACCAAATCATCCCCTTAACACTGTGCAAAGTGTCACTCTTTATCAACCCAAATCAAAATTTTTTCCATGTTCAAGGGACCATAACTCACTTAATCTCATATCAAAATACTGTACTGTACTCTGCTGTTACCTGCTAGGATTTGGGTCACATTAGGTCGAAGGAGTCAGTGACAGTGTTAGCCTTGATCACCAAGTGTCAGTGCTGACATGATTATGACCATAACTAATCCCACATTACTGTTGCCTTCATTTACAGATACATTTTTACCGAACCTTTAAGTAGTTCCTTGCTATATTCAATTATACTTACACTTTTTTGCTTACTGGTATACATGGCTAACATACAAGGGGCAGTTAATAAACTATCTCCACTACCCCCACAACTACTGGATGTCACTAACTATTTTATTTGTCTAACACCAGGTTTTGCAATTCAGGAGAAATTTTTTGGTTACACTTGAATGCTTGGGTATACATTTGTTTAGTTGCTGTGGTGCAATTCATTTTTTCAAAGTAAAAGTTTAAAGTATGATACCTAAGAAAATTAATGACCTTGGCAAAAAAAAATTCATAATACCCCCTGTATAGTAGAACCCTGGTTATCCGACTTCTATGGGGATTGAGAGGTTTGATAAAGAGATTTTCTGGTTAGTTGAACCTCACTTTTTGATCCCCCAATAAATCCTACAGTGTGACAGGCTGACTTTGCAAATTCGTGTCTCCGAAAAATGGAATTCTTTAACATTTATTCCACTCTGTATAAACAACGTGGGTTAGAAACTCTAAAAGTTGTGGAAAAATCATTACAATACTGTACTCTAATGTGGCTCAGAAAAAAACAACAACTGTGAAATAACAAAAATGAAGAGCACAGGTGTGTATGTGTGGGAAATGAAGGCGGTGGGCAATACCCATGGAGGTATAATAGGGTGCAGGCGGCATGAGCAATGTAGACAGTTCAAGTGAGTGAAGCCTGTCAGCCGCGCAGCTGCTACTTTTTGATTGGCAAGAGCTCGCTGCCAGCAGGCACTCCTCACAGTACTGTAAGCACACATTGTGCTAATGTTTATTAAAAAATGTATTATTTAACCTTTAAGCCCTAGGTTAAGTTATGGCAGTACCCCCGTGGGGATAAATTGAGAAAAAATAAATTTTTCCAAAAATAATAAATAATAAAAATAAATAAATAAATATAAAAATAAATAAAACTGGTGGGAAAATCGTGAGGAGGATGTTCTGGAAGCGTCACCGGGGCCTAAGGGTTAATCTGAAAATATTGAGGCAATACATTAAACACTTATTAATCACAGAAATATACACAAATACAGTAAAACCTCGATTAACCGACTTTCGGATTAACCAATCCTGGACCCTAAAAATAAATAAATAAATAAATAAATGGACGTAAAATAAAAAAATAGGAATACTCGATTGTATTAGGATTTCATTACCTAAGAAATTAATGACCTTGGCAAAAAAAAATTCATAATACCCCTGTATAGTAGAACCTGGTTATCCGACTATATGGGGATTGAGAGGTTTGATAAAGATTTTCTGGTTGGATTGAATTTCCTTTTGATCTAATAAATCTACAATTAATGACAGGCTGACACTGCAATTCGTGTCTCCGAAAAATGGAATTCTTTAACATTTTATTCCTCTGTATAAACAAATGGGTTAGAAACTCTAAAGTTCTATTGGAAAAATCATTACAATACTGTACTCTAATGTGGCTCAGAAAAAAACAACAACTGTGAAATAACAAAAATGAAGAGCACAGGTGTGTATGTGTGGGAAATGAAGGTGGGCAATACCCATGGAGGTATAATAGGGTGCAGGCGGCATGAGCAATGTAGACAGTTCAAGTGAGTGAAGCCTGTCAGCAGCGCAGCTACTGCACGATTGGCAAGAGCTCGCTGCCAGCAGGCACTCCTCACAGTACTGTAAGCACACAATGTTTATTAAAAATGTATTATTTAACCTTTAAGCCCTAGGTTAGGTTACAACTTGCTGGCAGTACTATGGGGATAAATTGAGAAAAAATAAATTTTTCCAAAAATAATAAATAATAAAAAATAAATAAATAAATATAAAAATAAATAAAACTGGTGGGAAAATACGTAGGAGGATGTTCTGGAACGTCACCCGGGGCCTAAGGGTTAATCTGAAAATATTGAGGCAATACATTAAACACTTATTAATCACAGAAATATACACAAATACAGTAAAACCTCGATTAACCGACTTTCGGATTAACCGCCGATCCTGGACCCCTAAAATAAATAAATAAATAAATAAATGGGCAATAAAATAAAAAATAGGAATATCGATTGTATTCGATTTTTCCGTATCTCAGTGCATATAGTGCTTAGATTAAAAAAAATGTTTGTTTACTCAGTGCATATAGTGCTTGAAATAAACAAATCTTATACTGTATATTGTTTACACAATAATATGCATTTTATGGAAAAATATATTGCACGTAGATATGCTAAATACATAATTATATGAATAGAGGTACTTAAATGAGGTAGGTTACTATTAACCGACCTTTTGGATTATCCATTGGCCCCTTCCCCCCATATGTGGGCGATTAATCGAGGTTTTACTGTAGTACAATACACTTCGGTGTAAAACAGAATGTAGACTCTGCAGTACAGGACTTTACTGGCTACTACAATGAATCAGTTTTGTATATATATATATATATATATATATATATATATATATATATATATATATATATATATATATATATATATATATATATATATATATATATATATATATATACAGTGAAACTTCACTTTACGCGGTCAATTGAACCCACGGCGGCCCGCATAAAGCGAGAAACGCATAAAGTGAGCAACATAACATATGGGATTAATTGAAATAGAGACCGGGCCGACCCCCAAACTCCACTTTTTCAGACACAATACCTACGTTGTAGTAAAAATAACTTCTTAATTTTATGATGGTATGCACACAATTAATAATTAAGAGAAATATCAATAATATTAGGTTTTTTAACACTTACATTAGTAGAAAAGATGGCTGGGCACACGGGGATGGGGAGTTGGTTCCGAGGCAGAGGGCAGATTATTGGCCTTCACCTGTATCACTTGTATCAATTGTATTACTATCCACCACAGAGGCTTGCAGGGCCTCTTTGTCAAACCCCTCAAAGTCCATGTAAGTCCATATCCTCACTATCATTATCACTATCACTGACTTGGGCCGGCTGTGGTGGGTGGCGGGTGAAGAACTCGGTAATGTTTTGATGACTGGGCGACCTTGGGCGCACCCTGCCCGCGCCGCTCTCCGCGTAAAAGAGTACATGCACCGCGTAAAGTGAGCATTCCGTGTTCGGCAGGGTACCGCGTAAAGCGGGGTTTTACAATATATATATATATATATATATATATATATATATTATATATATATATATATATATATATATATATATATATATATATATATATATATATATATATATATATATATATATATATAGCAAATTCCGGTAATTGAAGATTTAGTTTCTTTTAACATACACAGGCCTACTGGCATAAATTTCAGGGTCTAAATAGAAGGAAGAACTGAAGTGGGCCTGGAGTCTTAAAGCTTGGCTATACAGTACCTAATAGAAAACCAAGATGGAGTACTGTACTGTGCCAGTAAAATTTGCAATGAGACTGTAAGCTGATCTTTGATATCTAATTAAATAGAGGATATTTGCATAGCAATGCAGTACAGGTATCTGGTTAATATTATACAGCAATTAACAAAAATATCTAACTAGTGAACAAACTGTTAATATTATCCATGAAACAAAATTCTTCTAATTTCTTATTCCAGGGTATATTTTATCATTAGAGGAAACTTTATACACTACAATAGCTATTGTTATTATTTCTAATGAAGTTTTGTTGAATATCAAAACCCCAAAATGTAGAGGAAAAAATAATTTCCTGTACAAAATTGAACTACAGTGTCACATGATAAATGCTAACATAGACACAGTAATACAGTATGCCATACTATATAAAGTTCAGGGTTAATCTGAACAGTTTCTGACAATCAAAATTAATAAAAAAATAATAATAATAATAATAAAAAATCTTGCATTTTTAAAACTTACCAGCAATGTGACCAGATGGAATTGGTATTATTATTTCCTTGGGTGTTCCAGAGTCTGACATCTTCATGGAAGTTGATATATTTCTCAGGTTGAGCACTTTTAAGGGTATACATGAACTAGTCCCATGTCTCTTGATATTCAAAAAATTGCTTCTGAAAGTTACACAAGGTACTAATGAAATACTGTATATGTTTTAAAGCAAATAAAAAATATCATTTGGTAGGTCAGTACAGTACAAGGATTGAATATACAATACAGTACGGTTTAAGAATTAAAATAGCATATAAACAGACAAGGATCAGGAGCAATTTGAAAATTATATAAGCACCTCGAAGTCCATTAATCAGTCAATTGTATAATATATATACAGCTACTCCTTGACTTACGACATACTCGACCTACGACCACTCGCACATACGAAAGCCGCAGTCGGTACCAAAAATTTTTCAAATGACGCGCGTATTTTCTAGACCGAAACGTTTCCGTCCCGTACGAGAGCGTCATGTGGGCCGGGTCGCGTTGCCTCGTGGCTACAGCACCCACGCCGTAGAGCGCTTAGTTGGTGTTTAGCCGTCGTTGTTGTCGATAGTGATCACGCTGTGTACTGACAATATTTTCGTTTCTAATTTTCTTTAGAATGACTGTCAAGCGTAGAAGTGAGAGTGCTGGTGGTGCTCAGAAGAAAAGGAGACAATCAATTACTTTTGAGACAAAATTGAAGATAATAATGCAGTATGAAAATGGAAAAACGGTAGCAACCATTTCACGCGAATTAGGCTTCTCGTACTCAACCATATCAACAATTTTGAAGAACAAGGAACGTATTTGTGAGGTAGTGAAAGGATCAGCACCTATAAAGGGAACAATAATAACGAAAAAAAGACAAGGTCCCATTCATGAGATGGAAAAATTATTTGTGATATGGATGGAAGATGAGATACAAAAGCGTGTACCCTTAAGCCTTCTAACCCTACAGGCTAAGGCAAGAAGCCCTTTCGAAAGCCTGAAGGAGCAGGCAGAAGATGAGTGCGACCAAACCTTCACAGCAAGTCATGGGTGGTGCCAAAGGTTTAAGAATCGTTACAGTTTGCACAGTGTAAAGGTGAGTGGAGAGGCAGCAAGTGCTGATGTGGGTGCTGCCGAAGCTTTTAAGGAGGAGCTAGATCGTGTCATCGAGGAGGGAAATTATTTGCCAGAGCAAATATTTAATGTGAATGAAACAGGCTTATTATGGAAGCGCATGCCAGAACGGACATACAACCAGAAAGAGGCGAAAACAAATCCTGGATTTAAGGCATTCAAGGACCGAATCACACTTCTGTTGGGGGGGGGGGGGATGTAGCGTTCTAACCTACAATGGTATGAACATGCCTCTAACTACTGTATACTGGGTTCAATTCCAATCCCGGGTCAGATGTGAGAAGGGCGTTATCCACTCCGACCCTACCAAGCATCATAGGTTTTCTCCGGGTCCTGGTTTTCTCCTGTAATAACATTGGACAGTGAAGGTTAGAACAGACCAAGTGCCTGAATGGTTAGTAAGCTGATACAAGGTTAAATGATAAATTAAATAGCCAAACTTTCTAATCTACCCTATCATTCAACCTAACTTCCTCGCCATATGTTTTAAATACTGTAACGTCTTTCTAACCACCCCACACTTTCTAAACTTCAGCCAGAGTGATTTTGAAAGAACTCACACTAGGTGCCATACCTAGTGTGAGTTCTTTCAAAATCAGACTTGACCAACACTGGAACAGGTTCAGATACATTCAGGAACCATTGCATCCCCAATACTTGCGAATATAGCATAACAGAGACGTAAGCGACTGCCCAAACTGCTAACTAGCCGATAAGTGGTGAAGAGGATAAAAGCTAAACCTTTTTAATAACACCAAAATTCTTTTCTAACATAACTCTAACCAAATTAAAACTTATAAGTGAACCAAACTTTATAAACTAAAAAAAAAAGAGGAGGCTTTTTCATCCAACCAAATTTTATAATCTTACCAAACAAATTTGGTATTAATGGAATATCCACTACAAAAGCTAGCTTGGTAAACACCTTTCATCTTTTACAACAACTTTAGGTTTAGGTTACATTATGGTTAGGTTTGTTTCATTTTCTAAGGTTTGGTAATGTGGTTTTCTGATGTGATTCTAGTGATTTTGCCCTCCATTTCTCCTGCAAATCACTCATCCCCCCCCCTCCCTCCACCCAAAAACCCTGCTTCCCCACGGGTCCTCAGGATCGTGGTAGGGGGAAACTTTAAAAGCAGGTGAATCTTGATGGAAATGAAGCTCAAATTTATTCAAATCGCACTAAAAAAAATAAAAATGGAAAAACACATTGCTGAAATAAAAATCACTGCTATGTGGGTCTTCCAAATTTACCACACATTTAACTTAACTTTCTAACTTACCCAAACTTTTAAATTTAGCTAAACTTTCTAGCCTCACTAATCTTTAAAATTAACTAAACTTTCTAACCTAACCAAACTTAATCTGTACTAAACTTTTTGGTAAAATTTCACTTGTTGCTACTACAGTATATACGAAATTGTAGTTGAAACTGTTTTTCCAGTGGTTTTTGATGTGTTATGAACGAATTTGACCTTCATTTCTGGTGCAGATCAATAGTTTCTGAGATTAGCCCCTCCTCCCATCTCGGAATCTAGAGATTTTCTATAAAAATCAAGTTAAAAAGTGTTCAAAACCATCGAAAAAACAAAACCCTAACGAACCTAAATTAAACTAACTGGGGAGCTCCACAATGGTTCAATGTTCTGGGTGTGTTCCACCACGTACGAACATACACACTAAAATGTTAAATATCTCACTAAAACATAATTTGTGCCAAAAATGCCATTGAAGAAAAGTGTCTTAGAATTGTCAAAACTACTGATTGCAACTATAAAATTCCCAAGATGGTGTAGTGACAAGTGAAATAACACCAACTTTTTAACCTAACCAAACTTTCAACCCAATATAAATATTTCTACCTAACCAGATTTTTATAACTTGATTTGGTTAATATTGACAACTGACCAACTAATGAGTTATTTGTTTTGGTGCTTATTTTCTTACTATATTTTCATCAGTGAATACTGATATGATAATTATTTCCTGTGCAAATGCTTCATTTGGTACATATTTAGGCGCCTATGGTGTGCTCTAATTTGTCTTCTTGGCACTGCGCTCCTTGTTGTGCTTTCCTGCATCAGTTTCATTTTACCATGGCATGTGAGGGTGTCACCGGTCATATATGGACGTAATTTGCGAAGTCAAAGCGAAAGACGATCTCGCTCTCCAATTATTCAAAGACCACGGCATCCTTCCTTCCAAAAGAGACTGTCCAGATGGCGGAAATCCCTGTTTTACAACCAGAGAGGAATTTGGTCTAGTGTAACAAGAAACTGTACCTGTTCTGCCACATTCACTGAGATTATGGCACAATCCTTCACCACTTCCTCAACGCTGTGGCTCGTCGCTTTCCCCCGTTTCAGTAACAGTAAGTTTGCCCACGGCAGGTGTTGAGTTATGCTAGGCTTTGTTAAAATTAGGTTAGGTTATTTAAAAAAAAAAATGTGCACAAACTATGAGTGTCCTCTATAAAACACAGTGAAATTGTGGAGTTATTATAATCATTTACTATGCAAAATCGTCAGCAGGTAAGTCGTCAATAATTACCTTTAACATGACTGAACTTTCAAATAAGTCTAAATTTCCTTACAGTCAAACTGGTTATTATTCGGTTTAGAATATCTTCAAATCACATAGAAACACTTAGTTTTAGGTAATTTCTACCTCGTATATACTGTACATAACTCAACCCTTGAAGCCTCTTGGAAATGCAATTCTTTCAGAAAAATCGCACAAGTGAGGAACGCCTAAGAAATTATATCAATAAATTTCTACGCGTTTTCTACCCCGCTGAGGTTTGAGCCCCCAACGTAGAGGTTGGGTTAGGTTAAGGTAGATTAATTTAGTGAAAGTTAGGGGTCTAGATGTTTAGTTTCTGATGTATTTGGATGTCGGTCCGACACCAAATACTAGTCGAGGTTCGGTTAGGTTACCGCGTAGGTTAGGTTAGGTACATGCACTCGATCTATTAACTCAGATTAAATTAAGTATACCGAATTTTTGTGACTTCGTGACACCAAATACCAGTCGAGAAGTGATTGGCAGTCCGATTTATTCTTGTAGGACCATCAATTGACTTCATTGTGGCTACATTTGGGTAATTACTAGCTCCCTCGGTACATGCACGCGATCTATTAACTCAGATTAAAGTAAGTTTTCCAATTTTTTGTGACTTTGTGACACCAAATACTAGTCGAGAAGTGATTGGCAGTCCGATTTATTCATGTAGGACCATTATTTGACTTCATTGCGGTTACATTTGGGTACATTTGGGTAATTAGTCGGACCCATTTGGATGTATTTTGTTCAGATCTCGCCTTCGTTTTTTATGGAAAATAGCAGTTATTTATCAAGGATGACTTGCAACTTTTTTTTTTTTTTTATAAAGTGACGCATTTCCCATGGAAACGAAGATCAGATCTAGGCAAAACACAGCAAAATACATCCGAAATCAAACATCTCACGAACAAATTCGAGGGTGTGATAAAACGAATATTTACTGTCAAACTTTTTAACCTAGTCATGTCTTCTAAAGCTTTTTGTTTAACCTAATTCCTAACAAATTCAAACTAAGCACTCCAATTTTCCGAACACACTCAAACTTTTTATTATACTGTAATCAAATTTTACCTATCCAACCTAGCAAAACTTTACAATTTGCTGAAACTAATAAAACTAACCAAGCTTTCTAACAACAAAGGTTCCTAGCATGGTTCCATGACAAAACCCCAACTGGTTTGTCATTTGTCAACACTAACCTAACCTAACCTAAGCTTAAAAGTGTTTTATTTTATATTTTATATATGTGACGGGGGTTTTGTCCGTTGGGGTTTTATCCGGTCACCTTCCTAGCATACCCTGTAACTCCCCACTAAACCTTCAAAGCTAATTGAATATTCTAACGGATCCTAAATGAACCTAACCTAACATATAATGAACTTCGTAACCTTATCAGTTATTAAGTTATACCTTAACACATCACACCCAATCAATCTTTCTAACCAAACCAGATTTCCTAACTTAACTTTGATGCTCTTAGTGCTGAGCTCATAACTGAAGATGGCATTCTTTTCACAACTTACTTTAAGTTATAGACTGTAGATGTCCCCTCTATAATTCACCTCTTACTAACGTTAAACAGCCTGCTCTTGAGATGCCCCGAGTGGCCGAGTTACCTGGACCAACAGTAGAAGATATGGAGATAAAGACTGATAAAAGTAACTTTTTATACATTGTTTGAAACTCAGCCTTATTTCTTATGTTAAAAACCCCTGCATTTAAACGCTATCGTCAGTTTGCAGCCGTAAACATTACCCATAACACGAAGTAACAGCACTTAAAATTCGCTGAACACCCATTGTCACTACAGTAGAGTGCCAGCTCTGCTTGTGTTTGTATGTTTTATATATTTTTTTTACTACTATTGATAGGGCAGTGCCAGCCAACCCCGATATCACGATGGTAGTCTGAAGACGCGGTAGATTTGATAATCATGTTATTTTTTTATGTGCCCAGTAAAGAACCGGTGAAATTTTTATTATTTATAACGCAAAAATTACCAAACGAAAGCAGGTCACTTACAGAAACTTACTGCGTCTGTGTACCATCTTGAAATTGCAATCAAATGTTTTTTTTTTACCCAAACCATTATTAGAGACTGTAACGATGACAGGCAAAGCTGGCATTTTTATTATTCCCATTTTCTCTTGAGTTTTATTTTGACGTGGACTAAAATTAATTTGTACAAGTACGCAAGGACATTTTTTTTAAATAGGTAAAAATATTACTTTGTATGTTAGATTTATTTTTATCCTTCAGTGGACCACTGGGGAATGGGCTATGGACCACATGGAAGTCCACTTGTGATTCATGGACAACAGGTTAAGAACCCCCTTCTATTATCTCCAGCTGGTTGCTCTCGGTTTGTTTTTCAAACCTTTAGTGTAATCTTTATTTATCTTATCTATCGATGAAGTAAAATGTATCTTTTAAGTGATTTGTGTTCTATTCAATTTTAAAGAATACAACTTAACATATGCATGGCCTCATCCGCAGGAGATAGCAGTCTTCAATTTTTTTCAATTGTTTATTCCTTGATAGAGGAAGCGGGATCCTAGTGCTGTTTTCTTTTTTCTTTTCCTTAATCCTCTTCACCACTGGTCAGCTCGTTAGCCGCTTGGGCGATCGGTCACGTCTCTGGTACGCACTGTTGGCAAGTACTGAGCATGCGCTGGCTCCTGAATGTATCTGAACCTGCTCCAGTGTTTGTCAAGTCCGGTCTTACTTTTACTTTTTACTTTTATCCTCTTCGCCACTGATCGGCTTGTTAGCCGCTTGGGCGATCGGTCACGTCTCTTTTCATTTATATTCTTCTCCAAAAGATTGGCTCGCTAGCCGCCCGGGGGATCGGTCACGTCTCTGTCACGCACTGTTGGCAAATACTGGGCAGGCACCGGCTCCTGAATGTACCTGAACCCGCTCCAGTGTTGGTCAAGTCTTCTCTCGAAAGAGCTCACACTCGGTGCCGTCACAACACTCTCTGGTAGATTGTTCCAAGAGTTTACAACCCTCACTCCGAAAAAGTTTGCCCTCACGGTTTTCTGGACTTGCGGCTTCTTCAATCTTGAGCTGTGACCCCTTGTGGGGCGAGCGTCCGCCAGCTCCAAGTAAGGACACTCAACTGAGTAGTGCCCCCTGAGATGCTTATACACCTCAACTAGGTCCCCCCTTGCCCGTCTGTAGTATAAGCTAGGCAAGTTCAGGCGCTCCAATCTCTCAGGGTAGCTGAGGTGCCGAAGTGCAGGCACCAGTTTGGTGGCCCTCCTTTGAACATTTTCAACCAACTGACAGTCCCTAGCATATCTCGGGGACCAGATGGGGTGACAGTACTCCAGATGGGGAAGCACTTCACTCCTGAAGATCGTCACGAGGGACGGACCGTCTAGATATCTGAACGACCTTCTTATAAGACCCAATAATTTATTTGCCTGATTTACCTTCTTCTCACAATGGCCCGAGAACTTCAGCTCATTGTCAACATACACACCTAGGTCCTTCTCACACACAGTCTCAACTAGTGCATTTTCTTCATCCCGTTGGGACATATGATACGCCTCCTTACCGTTGGTACGCCCCAGGTGCATCCTCTTACACTTCGTGACATTGAATCTCAGCAGCCATTTCTTCGACCATTCCTGGAGCCCACAGAGGTCCTTCTGCAGCTCTTCACAGTCCGCTTGGTTCTTAATTTCCCGAAATAACTTGCCATCATCGGCAAACATTTGTATGGAGGAGTGTACAACGTCAGGCATGTCATTTATGAAACAAACAAACAACAGCGGGCCCAATACACTACCCTGCGGTACCCCACTTGTTACAGGTACAGATGACGATTTCGTGCCATTAATCACCACACATTGCTTGCGGTCATGTAGAAAGTCTTCTATCCACGCTAGGACATTTCCCCGAATTCCGTACCCTTCCAGTTTGATTTTCAGCCTTTCGTGGGGTACACTGTCGAAAGCCTTGGCAAAATCTAGGTAAATATTGTCGATATTACCACCCCGTTCTAGAATATGGGTCCAAATATCCAATACCTTGAGCAATTGTGTTGAGCAAGAGCGCCCCGGCATAAAACCGTGTTGGCAATCTTTTACAAGGTTGTTTCGTAGTAGATGTTCCATCGCGGCATCTCTGATAATACTCTCAAGTACTTTACATATTATGCTGGTCAGGCTCACCGGTCTATAGTTGTTCGTGGAATGACTATCGCCCTTCTTGAAGATAGGACTCGCATAAGCCACTTTCCATTCACTGGGGACCATTTGTTCATCCAGGCATTTACAAAACAGAATCTTCAGGGGCTCTGCAAGCTCGTTGCACAGCTCTCTTAGCACTCTAGGAGCTTACACTCGGTGCCGTCACAACACACTCCTGTAGATTGTTTCAAGAGTTCACAACTCTCACCCCGAAAAAAGTTAACCCTCACAGTTTTCTGGGCTTGTTGCTTCTTCAACCTTGAGCTGTGACCCCTTGTGGGGCGAGCGTCCGCCAGCTCCAGGTAAGGACACTCGACTGATTAGTGCCATTTGAGATGCTTATATACCTCAATTAGGTCTCCCCTTGCCCATCTGTAGTATAAGCTAGGCAAGTTCAGGCGCTCCAATCTCTTAATGTAGCTGAGGTGTCGTAGTGCAGGCACCAGTCTGGTGGCCCTTCTTTGAACATTTTCAATCAACTGATAGTCCCTAGCATATCTCTGAGACCAGACGGGGTGACAGTACTCCAGGTGGGGAAGCAATTCACTCCTGCAGATCGTTACGACCTTGTAAGACCTAATAATTTAGCTGCCTGATTTACCTTCTCGCAATGGCCCGAGAACTTCAGCTCATTGTCAACATACACATAAGAACATAAGAAAGTGGGATACTGCAGGAGGCCGACTGGCCCATGCAGGGCAGATCCCTTTCACACCCATCCCAACACTTCCATGTGCCTATCCAACTTCGTCTTGAAGCTCCCTAGCGTCCCCGATCCTACTATAGCACTCGGTAGCCTATTCCACATATCCACAACTCTATTACCAAACCAGTGCTTGCCTATATCCTTTCTGAATCTGAATTTATCTAATTTAAAGCCATTTGTTCTAGTTATTTCGTTATTACTGAGCTTCAGAACATCTTCCATTTTACCCTTGTTAATCCCACTTACCCACTTGAACACCTCTATCATATCTCCCCTAACTCTACGCCTCTCTAATGAATGCAAGCCTAAGCTTTTCAGTCTTTCTTCATATGGAAGGTTTCTAATATTATGGATCATTTTTGTCATTCTTCTTTGTACTCTCTCCAAAGAATCTATGTCCATTCTATAATAAGGACACCAGAATTGAACCGCATAATCCATGTGTGGCCTCACTAATGCTAGGTAAAGTTTCAAGATAACGTCAGCAGTTCTGTTACTCACACTCCTAGATATGAACCCAAGAATCCTGTTTGCCTTGTTGCGAACGCTAATACATTGTTTTCTAGGTTTCAAGTCGTTGCTAACAAATACACCTAGATCTTTTTCACAATCTGAGTTTTCTATTTCCGTGTTACCTAGTTTATACTTAACGTTTGTATTCGTCTTCCCTATCTGTAGTACCTTGCATTTATCAGTATTAAAATTCATTTGCCAGTCTACTGACCACTCATGTAAGGTATCTAGATCTCTTTGAAGGTGTTCAAAGTCACTGTCTGAATTTATTACTCTCCCCATTTTGGTATCATCTGCAAATTTACTAATCCTACTACTTATACCTAAATCAAGATCATTAATGAATATAACAAACAGCAGAGGGCCTAATACAGATCCCTGGGGAACTCCGCTTTTGACTGCACCCCAGTCTGACTTAAATTCATTTATGCTGACTCTTTGTTTCCTACCAGTTAACCATGACCGAATCCATTTTAATAATGATCCACCTATTCCATGTGCTTCTACCTTCCTTATCAATCTCTCATGAGGGACTCTATCGAATGCTTTACTGAAATCTAAATAAATTATATCATATGACTTATCATTATCTACCGCTTCATATACTTCTGAGAAAAAGCTAAGCAAATTTGTGAGACAAGAACGTCCCTGGGTGAACCCGTGCTGAGAAGAATGAATTAAGTTGAATGTTTCAAGGTGGCTTCTGATTTTCGTAGCAATAATTGACTCTAGCAACTTGCCTATGATTGACGTAAGACTAATGGGACGGTAATTTGATGCAATTGATTTATCACCTTTTTTGAAAATCGGAACTACATTTGCAAGTTTCCAAGCTTCTGGCACTAGGCCCGATTCTAATGACTTATTAAATAAAACTGCTAATGGATTACTCAACTCATCTCTACATTCTTTTAATATTCTAGCATATACCTCGTCTGGACCAGGCGATTTATGAGGCTTCAGTTTGTTAATTTCTTTAAGCACATCGTTACTAGTAATATTGATATTCATCAACATATTTTCGATACTGTCGTTATATACCTTATGAACTTCTGGAAACTGTGCTAGGTTTTCATTTGGGAATACGGAGCGAAAATGACTATTTAACGTACTATACATTTCTAACTCATCATCAGTCATTTCTCCTGTCGTAGTTTTAAGGGGACCTATTGTATCTCTAACCTTTGATTTATACAGTTGATAAAAAGCTTTGGGGTTATTTTTCGATTCGTTTTCTACCTTGATTTCATAATTTCTCTTTGCTTTCCTAATTTCTGTTTTTACCTGTC